CTTGAAATGCAAAGTCAAATGATCAAAGAGAAAAAAGAAATAACAATATTTACAAGCCTTCCATGCCTCCAGCCTCCAAGTGGCAGTGTTACTTCCTTTCCCGCTATTACTACAGCCCTCTTTGTATTCCTTTTATATCTTCTTTATATTCCAAGCTTAAAGAAAACAAAATTCTTAAATGGAGCAAAAAAAACCATCCAATCCAGCATTATAAAAATAAGGAAAAAGATTTTAATCCATAGGTATAAAAAAAAGAATATAAAATGTAGAAAAGAAAAACTAATCCATTCAATTTAAAAGAATAGGAAACATTTGCAAAAGTTCCACCTGTAAATTTTTTTTAAAAGAAAAGGATAACACACTGTCTAATGTAGCTTAATTTTGCTGCTTGTTCTCTTCTGTTTTCAAATTTAATTTAGCTTTAATTTTTTGGGGGTAGTCCCTTTTATAATAATAAGATTTCCTCACCAGATGGACACACTTTCTCTTTCTGTTTTCCTCCTGTTCCGGAGCTGTCCCAACTTCAGCAGCTTCAAAAGGACCATCCAGCAGCAAAAGTATCGACTGCAATCTTGGATCTCCAAGATTGCACGTCGTGTCATTGCGATGTCAGCTCCTCCTTCCCATAATGCAACGTTCTGAGTTTATTTTTATATGTATATATAATTTTATAAAGAATTTCAGTTATAATAGTAGAACCAAATACAAACTAAACTTAAAGAAAAGATAACAGGAAGGAGGAGTAAGAAGTCCAAGAAAAAAGAAAGAAAAGAAATAGCAATTGCAATAACACTTAGACTTATATACTGCTTCACAGTGCTTTAAGCGGTTTATAGAGTCAGCATATTGCCCCCAACAATATGGGTCTTCATTTACGCACCTTGGAAGGATGGAAGACTGAGTCAACCCAGAAAAGAATATAATAAAGAGAAGACCAATATATAAAAAATGGCTTCCAACCATCATCACTCTCCCTTTTTTACAACCCTGTAATCTCTTAATTTGAGGTTGAGTTGGGGCAATTGGATGGAGCTGAGCATTTACTGGCTGGATACCCTTGTTGATGCCCACAGAAAATCACTGTTCTGTATTCTCTTCACAAGGAGCAGTCATCTGGAGCACATGTGGGTCATCTCCTGTCCTGGAGAGGTTCCAAGGAACCAGTCTACTTACTGGTTCTCGGATCTTTGCTATGATCATCAGCTTCACTTTAATAGAACAATATTCAGTACACCATACCTCCCTGAATGGCTGATTAGCTGACTTTGTGTTGTTTTCACAATAGGCAGAGAAAATGATATTTTTACAATCAGCATTTTTAGAACATTGATACTAACGTTGCTATATTAGTGATACTATTTCTATTTATTTAATGATTTAATCCATCAGTTTGTATTCTTAAATTCTATAAAAATAACATCCATAGCAACAATTCATTTCTTATGAACACTCCTATAAGTAATGCAATTCATTGATTGATTATGTGCTATCAACCTGGAATTAATCCATCGTGACCATTCAGATTTTCTCTAGGATAGAAGTAAGTATTTTTAGTATTTACCCTGACACTTTGTAGATTTAAATTGATTTATGTTATATTCCTATCCATCCCTATTTATTTTGATACGGCTCTCCCCTTAATAGCCTTTAAGGCATATGTCTCTGTAAGCTTCTGTTCTTAACTGAAGACACTTATCTCTGTTTTTACAGAAGTACCTGCTATCTTCAACACTTGTTACAAGCTCTGAAAAGTGAAATAGCATAATGGGTAATATAAAAGGTTTCAACAAAAGAGAAAAGCCAACACAAATCATTTATTGCCTATTGACCTATTTGGACTATATTTCAAACACATTCACCATCTGAATACGTTTTTGTAATCTATTGTAATCATTTTTGCAAAGACGTTAAAAGAAAATTAGTACTACTTTGCTGGAATGTATTTTTCAGAATCAAACAATTGCTTATTAAAAATAAGTTATGTCCAGCTATGTGTCAAAAGACCAGTTATAGTTGCAGCTGGATATTTCTCCAGGATTCCTAGTCTATTTTAGCCTTTTTTTTTTTTTTGTGCGATACCAACAATGTTCTCTTACAATTCTTGCTACAGGGATTCCAATCCCAGAATTGGTGATATCATCCAGAAAGTGGCTCCTTTCCTGAAGATGTATAGTGAATATGTGAAGAACTTCGACAAGGCGATGCATCTGATCACTGTATGGTCGGAAAAAGCCTTGCCATTCCAAGAACTCATCTCAAACATTCAGGTGAAATGGTTTCAGAGCTCATAATACAATTCATTTTTTAAAAATTCATATTGGTTGTAATTTGATTAGCTATATAGATGTATAATCTATTGTGCATATACAGTATCTTATCTGAAATTTCTGGATTTACTGCTTTGAATATTAAAAACTTATGATTGTTCTCAACCATTACATAGTAGAAGGCTAAAAATAGATAGGTTTAGAATTCCATATAGTCTCTGCCAATTCTCTCCAATGCAGGATAGGAATACATTAAAAAAGTACAAAAATGAAGAAAAATCTTTTTTTTAAAAAAAAATTACATGTCCAATATCTACTAAGATAATTGGAAAGGAGTCTCCTCTCTATTTATTATCTTTCTGAAATATTAAATTTCTCTTCTTTTTTTTCCTCTATTGAATTAGGCTTAGGAAGGGAACTTTGGTTAGCATTAAGAGTAGTTTTCTAAATTTATTCTCTTTGTGCATGTATGATGTACAGGGTCATGGTGTATAGAAAGTATTAATCCTTTTCTACTCAATAGGATTCTCCCAGAAAGTCCCTTTCTATCAATTCAATTTCAAAACAGTTTACAATAATTCAAAATATTTTTTGTTGGTACCAATTCATTGCTTTTTTTAAAAAAACCTTCTAATATTTGCATATGTGAGAATTATTGTTTGCAGGGAGGAATGACTAAGCCTTCCTTCCACAATTGTGTGTCTTCCCTTTTTGGTTGTGTTCTTTAAAAAAAACAACCAATAAGGCACGTTTCCCTCCTGGCTGAAAACGAGCCTTATTTGTATTGATCTAGAAGAAGAGATGTTAATTTTTGTTTCCTAACTACAATCCTCTTTGAAAATAGATGGACTATAGGAACTGTATATAGGATCAGCTTTGAGAATAAGCCACTTCATAGGCATGAAGAGTACCTTGAGGTGGTGGTATCCACCTAAATTGGTACTGTTTGGCTGTTGATTTTCTGATTGGGAAATTTGAGGATGAAGTGAAGTTTATTTCAGGAGCTGTTTTCCCATTCATCAAAGGAAGCAAGGCTTTAGGGTGGAAACTGAGCCATAACAGAAATCTGAAGTCAAGACAGGGAGGTTTTGTATGTGTATGTATATGTATTTTATGTATAGATACTAATGAATCCTTCATTCTCCTGGTTTTACTTTCTTTTCCTCTAATTGTTATTGTCCTGCACAGAAACAGGAAGTGTCTGCTAATTTAACCTTGCAGCATCACATGTTGGAACCAATACAGAGAATTCCCAGATATGAACTCCTCCTGAAGGATTATATTCAAAAACTACCTTTGGAATCACCAGACAAGGAAGATGCGCAGAGTAAGAGTTTTGCTTTGATCCCTTCTTTTAGAATGGGGGCAACAACAAAAAAAGTGAGAAAAGTGATCAATCTTGCCTTTGAAATGATGCCTTTTGGTCTCCTTACTGAATGATTTTAGATGTTCATGGTGCTGGTTCTCTTTCTAATGTGCCATAGTTTCTCCAAACTATTCCTTTGTTGCTCAAGGTCACAATTGCTAGTATAGTATTGGGCATGAAGTAATTGTATAAAATAATTGTAAGAATACTATTATTTCTTGCAGAAGCTTTGGAGATGATTTTCACAGCAGCTAAGCATTCTAATGCTGCCATCGCTGAAATGGTGAGTATCCAGATCAGGGGTATCAGACTGGCGGCCTGCAGGCCAGATGTGTCATCTGTAGGCCACACTCACCCCAGCTTCACAAAGGGAAAAAAATCATCACGTGACAGCAATGTGACACAGTGAGTTTGACATCCATGGTGCGGCTGATTAGTCATCTCATTCTCCTTCACTATAGGCAGGTATCTCAATAGCCGAGTTACTGTTTTCCATTTTGTGAATCTTGATTCCATTGTTTCTGCAGGAACGACTCCAGAACCTATGGGACGTATATCACAGGCTAGGCTGTGATGATGACATTGTTGATCCTTCTAATGAATTTATTAAAGAAGGACCCATTCAGAAAATCTCTTTCCGGCACAACAATACCTCAGAGAGATATCTGTTCCTGGTGAGATATTTTTATTTTGTTAATTTATTTCTTAAATTTATTTGCCACCTATCTTACCATAGGGCTGCTCTAGGCAGCTAGTTTATTAGTTGTAAAGTGATGGAGCAGGAAGATTGTATCAAGTTTCTTATGGGGACCTCTCTCTGACTCCCAAATTATTTGGAATGGGGCAGTATTAAAAAAATAATATGGAAAAAGTGAAGGTATACAGGTTTCCCTAGACTTATAAACATTCGTTCAGCGACTTCAAAATTATGATGGTGCTGAATGAATGAACATATGACCTATATTCAACGTTATGGCTGTTGCAGCATCCCTTCAGTCTCCCTGATGAAAATTTGGGTGCTTACAAGTGGCTGCCCACAACCTGACTATCTTTCCCTCCTCTGGACCTCCTCCCTGCCCCATCATGCCTTGCTTCACTTATATCTTCCAAAGATTGCCTTTCCAGAAGAGCATTTGGATGGTGTGATGCGTCGCCTTCCTACAGAGGATCCCCCACATCATTTTCATTGTATCTCCAAAAGGTGTAATTTTCCAAATCATGCCCTTCTGAGAGATCACAAAATTGGCGCCCACTTCCAGAATGGCACAAGGTGGCCTCTGTAGGAAAACCATGAATCATATTGATTGGGAGGAATTTTGGAAAGATGCTCTTTGATAGAAATAATTGGAGCAGGGAGGAGAGCCAAATCAATGGGACTCGTTGAGTCAGGAAAGAGGCACAAGGCTGTGGGACTCAGCAAAAAGGGAAGGTATGCCTGGGTAAGTTGGGGTTTGAGACCCTGGGAGACCTGGCTCAGGTCACATGTAAGCTGGGGAGCTGCTGCAGTGTGTGCCTGGGCGTGAAATAGAGTGTGAGATGTAAGTCTGCACTGGACTTCTGGAATCCTTTCACATAGCAAAGCAATAATAGCAATAGCAGTTCAACTTATATATTGCTTCATAGGGCTTTCAGCCCTGTCTAAGCAGTTTACAGAGTCAGCATATTGCCCCCACAGTCTGGGTCCTCATTTTACCCACCCCGGAAGGATGGAAGGCTGAGTCAACCTTTGAGCCGGTGAGATTTGAACTGCCAAACTGCAGTTAACAGTCAGCTGAAGTGGCCTGCAGTACTGCACTCTAACCACTACGCCACCTCGGCTCTCCTTAGACATTCTGGGTTCCACTTAACAACACACATGGTATTTAACAGTAGGGGGAGACTGAATGTGGTGAGCTCAGGGTGTCTTGCTTAATGACTGCAATGATTTACAATAATAATTCTGGGCTCACTTGTGGTCCTAAGTCAAGGACTACCTGTAAAGGAATGCACTAGTGAGGATCATTGGTGATAAAATATTTTATTGAGGTTTGCAGATATAGTCTGAAAAGCAATTGCAAATATTGTTATGATTATTGTTGCGATTGTTATATAAATATCAGCTTAGCTTAATTTACTGGAAAGATTAAGAAAGAAATTTAAGATTGTCTCCCTTTGATTTTCTTATTTATAAGAGGGTTCAGAAAGAAACTCTATCAAGCTTTCAAGTTGCTGCTATTATACCTTGCAAGCAATAAAGTTTCTATAATCCTTGTGACATCTGTTTCTTGACCTCTCTTACATTGAAGTGATGACACAAGGTCTATAGAGAACAAGGGATTATGTTTTTATTTGGCCTTTTTAAAATTAATAGCAATTCCTTTCGGTTTTGTCCAACTTTCTTCCAACACAGTGTATATTTGTGGGTTTGTTTTGTTTTTGCAACTTTTAGTTTAATAACCTGCTGTTGTACTGTGTACCAAAAGTCATTCAAATGGGTGCTGAATTTCAAGTGCGCCACCGGATTGATGTCAATGACATGAAGGTCAGAATATTTTATTGCCTATTCATTTATTTATTCAAGTCAATTTGTAAAACATCTGTGATGACTTTTATGGAAGTTCCTTTGAGTAAGATTGGATAGAGTTGCAACTAGGGCAGAGAATTTAAGAACTCAAAGGAGGAAGAGAGAGGGAGAGAAGCCAAAACAAGTGAAATGCTAGGCAAGGCCTTGCAGATTTTTGAAGATAAATCTGCTTTAGAGCAGGGGTTTTCAAAGTTTTTATACTACAGAATCTGTTAGTTCAAAAGTATTTCCCAGAACTCCTGATCAAGAGGAAAAAACTAGTGGTTGTGTTTGAGTGAACTTAGTTTCTCATGGAATTTCATCAAGTTGTCATGAAGAACATACAGTAGTTTGAAAAGTCTTACTTTAAAAAAATTCAGAGATTGCTAGTCAATACCTCTCTGCAACTCCTTAAAGCAATGGAGTCTTTTCATTAGGATCACTCAGCTTTTCTATACATTTCTTGCAGTGTGCTTCCTAGAAAAGATGCTCTCCTGCTGTAATGGTATGTGAGAATGACCTTGAGAGACAGGCAGAAGAGTCATAGGCTAGACAATGGTCAGATAAGAGGCAGCTCAATCTGCAGAAGCTATGGCAAATGTCTCAGAAGGGACCATCCATGGTTTCTTGGACTGTAAAGAAGGGAATAGAGATGTACTTTCAGACTTACAACTGTAACCTTACAATAAAGCTAAAGCTAGTACTTCTGGGTGTCCCCCTTGTCTGGACTACCTTGCAAGGCTGATACTAATCTTGCAAGTCTCAAATTACATCCATTCCCCCTTGCCTTTACAGTCCAAGAAACCAGGGACAACCCCTTCTGGGATGTTTGCCATTTCTTATGCAGATTCAGCTGCCTCTTATTTGACTGTTGTCTTTTTGGATCTTCTGCCTTCTAAGTTCATACCCACATGCCATTAAATTTGCTGAATCACATACTGTTAATAGGCTTGCTCTAGCAAGGGGAAAAGTGAAGTAAAAAAAGTATTTCTTTCTTATTCCATTAGTTCCAAACATTAATGTTAAAAACACAACATATAATATCAGTAATAGAGAAATACAAAAATTTGAACAGAAAAAAACTTCATTGGGTTTGACAGCGGTATAGGGAAAATTGAAAAGGGGGGATGTGTCCCAACAAACAGAAATAAAAAGATTTCATTGGGTTTGACAGTGGCTTGGGGAAAATTGAAGAGGGTGGACATGTCAAAACAAAGTAAAGGGAGAAGCCAGGGATAGATTAGTGGGACGAAAGGCCTGAAAGGAAAAAAAATCAGACAATTAGAAATTGTTATATGGGAAATCTAAAGTTGAGATATGTGGTTTACTCCTATATATGAAAATTAAA